ATTGGTGATATATAAACAACACAAAAGACTCACAAAGCATTATCTTCTAAATGTTTTATTTATAATAATGCTCTCTTCTATTTTAGCCTTAGTTTATACCATTTTTTATAACCATTTTTCGTAACTTTAACTCCTATAAATACGCACAAAGGAAAACTGGAAGGCTAACTACTGCAGTTCATTCCTCTTCCAATTCAGTAATTTATATTTTCGAATTGCTTGTGTGTCAGCTGTTCTCTGTGCTGTAAACGTTTTCCACCAGGGCCCTGGAGCCACATGGCAATAAAGTCATATTTTACTGCTATCATTGTGAGTATTTTCGGCTGCTCAATCCAGGTTTCCCTTTCTGACGAGACGGGGTTCCCTGTAACAAAGTCACAGACTTAGCCCAATAAACCACAGAGGAACCTGCCCTTAACAACATTTTGAAGAGGGAAAAAACTTTAAATGTTAGGGAAAAACATTTGTAAGATCAACAAACTAATGTGTCAGCATTTAATACAGTTTTGAGAAGATTTAAATGTATTATATTGATCTTTGCACACTATGTCAAATCTCTAAGATCTGCTTTTCTTTCTGAATTCTCAGCAGATGATCGAACTAGCACAATGGTGGCTTGTTTTCTCAGCCCATAAACAGAACATAACCTAACATTTGCAGTGTCAAACAGATGGTGGCAGTCCCAAGGAGCTAAGGGTAGCACACATTCTGATTGGTCAAAGCGTGGGCAGAGAGAGGCATGGTGTTTAGATATTTTGTGTGTTTGTTTGTGTCGGGTGGCTAGGGGGGATTCTATCAGTGGATGGTAGCCAAAGTAGACCCATTTAATGTGTTTCAAACATACGGCATAAAATGCAAACTGTAAGATTGGATCTTTTTTTTTTTTTTTTTTATTTTAAGAGTTGGAATCAGAAATCATACCCCAGAAGGCTCTAAATGCTTCCAGAAATTTAAAAGAGATCCATTCTGCCAGGTCTCCAACCATTAAAAGAACGAAAATTTCTGATTTCCTTTTTTTGTTTTTTCTTAACCACTTAGCTCCGGGCTTTTTATAGCTTGTGCACAAACTAAAATCTTTTATTTTCTCGATATATTTGTAAAAACTGTAATTTTATACACAAATTTAACTATGTAACTAAAACAAATATATAAAACTTATATTTTAATATTATATGTTCATCATATTTGACCTCTCCACTTCACTACACTTATTGTTTATGTTATGGACAAAAGCTGTGTAAAATTTCAGATCTAGTCCTAATCACTCTGAAACTGTAATTTTTTGGGATGCAAGAGGTCATTCTGGCATAGTAGTTCAGATCAGATCCAAAAGTACTAAAGTAGATTATTACTTATTTGATCATAAAAAAATAATAATAAAAAAAGATTCTATACCAAGCTTTGGACAGGTTTTCTTTTAAGCACTTTCTTTTATAATATAAAAAAATTTCAGCTTTCTGAATTTTGACCAGTTTTTTCTGTGCATATCCAATTATTTCTCCTCTCCTTTCAATCCTTACACACATAAACACTACCTAATCAGCCCATCTCTAAACTTCCAATACTTCATTGCACAGATTATCTTTTTTTTTAAAATAGTTCACTAAATCAGTAAATTTCTTATGGGCAGGACATTTCCAACATATTCTGGATACGGAGAAAATAACTTATGTTTCATTTTGGGAGCAAACTGATTGGTGAATAAGCCCACGTAACGTAGATAATCTAAAATGGAAGACATAGTTCAGAAGGCACATGAAAAATGTGGTTTTATCCTGATATTTTTATTCTTAAAGCTAGAGTGTGTAACTTTTAGCGACATCTAGCGGTCAGACTGCAGACTGCAGCAACATAAACATCTCCTCCCCACCGCTTCTCCCCCCCAACAGTACGGCGAGCGTTACGGGACAAAATGTCTTCCACGTTGTCCGCATCACCTACCTTCTCAAGTGATGAGGTTTGTTTACATAGATAATTTTACAGATAGTATTTCATTAGTCTGTGTAGGGTATAGATTTCATGTAGACTTAAGATAATAAATATACCCGTTATTTTTTCTACATCGTTGTGACGTTTTGGCGATCTCGCAATCGCTAGTTTGTTGGCTCTGCGCTGCCGTAGCGCAAAGATGTCTGCCTCCATGGCTGCGAGACCCTCTCCTATGTAATTATAAATAACGAATTCTAAGGCAACGCAAATATTAAGGTTAAGAGGCTGAGCTCGTAGATGATGATAAAGTAACATAGTTATGTATAATATATTACATTTCTGACTGTATATCCCTGTAATTATTACACACCGTAGCTTTAAATGAAAAAATTTTGCCTTTCTACTGAGTGTTACAGAAAAAATTTGCCCATGTATGCCAGGATAGAATATGTTTTGGAACGCCATAGGATGAAAACAAGGTAAGAAGAGAAAATTATAAGTTATAATTTGAGAGTTGGCTTACAGTTGAGTTGATGGTCATTTTCTTTAGGATCGTTTTATTCTAAGAGATACAACATGTTTGTTTTTTTTGTTTACAAATAAGCTTGCTGTTTGATGCCAAATTAAATGTGATGACAAAACAACCCGGGGACGTGAGCTAAGGGGTTAAAGCAAACTTAGTTAATGGGTAAAGGTGGAACTTTCTGTTGTTTAATCAGAGCCAATAGTCAATCTAATGTTAGAGAGACTTTTATGAGGTGAAAATATCTAAAGCAGAGACAAAACCCAGGCCTGGGAGGAGTTTGGATAGGCCATGGAGAGGGAGAAGAAAGAATGCTTACACTGTTTTCAGTGGGAGTAGAAAGCTGCTGACCCTAAAAGAGGATTCGTTCATCGGATTTGTTCATCACTTAGGCTAAAGTTACTGTGTTTAACAAACTCCAAGGTGGTAATCTTCGGGGTAGACGAGATCTGCCCTGAATACCTGGAGCTCTGGAATTTGTTGGGTCGTCTTGGCTGAGATGCCTCTTAAACATCGTATGAAGGTCCGGGACAGTGCCAATTATGTGGCTTACTGGGGGTGGTGGTTCCCATGCATAAGAAAGGGGACAACCAAAGGTGTGCTCCAGCTATAGAGGAATCACACTCCTCAGCCATATATGTGTATGTGTGTATATCTGCCAGTATCAGTCTATCTCTTGTAGGAGGAGTCTCAACCATCCACTCAGTGGAAGATGGTGGTGGAAGTACCATGTTGGGAAGCTTTGTGCAATAAATTTAAACCTTCAAGCAAGAAAACTTGGCTTAAACAGAAAGAATAGAAAATGGTTTAAATGTAAGCATATTTATCTTTTAGAATAGACCAACATCGAGAGATAAACCAAAGTTAGAATTTCCACCCATCTTGTGTGACTAAGCAATAGCAATGAAACTCTGTGAACCGGAATTTTCCACTTTCTGACTATTTCTAATATCCCACTGATTCCCAATTGGTGAACAATTTAAAAATAGTCTTTAGGACTTCAGTAGCTTTCTGTGTGCTAAGTTGGGTTATTTGTTATTGTATTTCATCGATACCAAGAGGCAAATGCATTCAATCAGGGAATTGTCTTTTCCCCAGTGCTTCAGCTAAGAGGTTTAAGACAAATTAAGTGATTATAATAAGTTACTATTTGCTAAGAAAACACTGGTTGTTTTTCCTTCTTACTGTAAAAATGACATATTCAGCTTTTTTAATATTCTTTTAGCATTTCAAAACATAGTACTTGAGTGAAAACCACACTAGGGACCCCCCATTCATCATGTTAAGGTGCAGCTCTTTTATTTGTTTTATTCTTTTGCTTTACATGTTGGAATAAATCTATTTTTACTGCAAAATTGTTTTTCTAAATTTGCATCTCATCCTAAGGGGCATTAGATGCTTCCCTCTGAAGATTATATAAAGTTCAGTCTATCTTTGAGCCTATCAGAACAATCAATGAGAAGTGTTTTTCTCAGAGCATGCATGAAGGTCACTGGTTCTGTCTCTGAAACAGCCACATGAGCCGTTAGACGCCGAGGTGAGTGACAAGCCTCCCCAAGCCCTAAATGAGATGAAAAAAGATGACTTGAAAATAGGGCTCGTCATTGAGCCAAATTAGATCTGCAGTCAGAGATGGACCGTTTGTGCAACAGCTGCCCAGCTCTCCCTTCAAAGGACAATTTGTAGAAGTGGAGGACTTATTTAGCATGCGGCATGCGTGCAGGAAATCAGAATGTCGAGAGGCACGCGTCTCCTGCAATCACATGGCAGGTTAGTGCTTGTGCATTTTTAATGTCCGTCATGAAAAAAATAAAATGAAATGAAAAACCGTTGGTGTGACTTGATTTAGCTACAGGCTGTTACAGGCTGGTGTGCACCCAAAGATGAGATATTTGGTCTTCAGCAAATGCTGCGAAATTGCAGCTCAGCACAATGTTGTTGTTATCATTAGTCGATGCAGCATCCAATCAGAGCGGGTGTTTACAATAAAAGGAGAGTTGTTTGTGTCTCTGTGTAAAATCACTGGAGCGTCTCAACAGCTCCGGTATTCTGTAGTCAATACTTTCCTACAGGGGTGGCTGGGGTTGTTTATATGCTGTTTATACATAGAATTTAATAACCTAGATTCCCAGGATGTTTATAAATCCTATTTGCTGTTATGTATTTTTATATCATGTTATAATTCTTTTCTTTTTAAGTTTCTAATAATGTTTTAACTTTAGGTTTTTTTTAGCTGTTGGCACCTAACAGGGGTACAAAAGAAATCATTTTTGGCTGCATTTTTGTCCATTGATCCTTTATGTGTATTATTAAAAAGGTTCAACAAAGCACAGTGTTCCTCTGCAGCAGATAAATAAGATGCTAAACTAATTTTGCTGACTTACATTGCCATCTATACCCATTTTTCGTTATCACTGTTTCTCAATTGCAATTTTACAACATGTTTATACAATGCTTTACCATTTAATTCAGTACACAGTTTTGAAAGTAAGTCTCATCTTTTCTCATTTCTGATCCTTCTACGAGTTCTTATCTCAATTGATGTCTTTTTGATCCTATAAAACCATCTTATTTTCTTCCCTCATCTCACCCTCTCTACTATTCTCTCTTCATTTTTAGATTATTGATTCTCCTTTTTTGTTTATTAATACAAACTGTAAAACTCTTCCTCTAGTTGAGTTGATTGATGCAACCCTTAAGTGCATAGCACCAGGGGTGAAGAGTACAACTATGACAATGTAAATAATATTTTAACAACAAATGTAAATAATATTCGACTTACCGTAATTCATTAATCAATTAGGCTTTTACTTTAGTTGTTTGTTATCTAAAACTATTTGATCTGTTGAAGAATTTTTTTTTCTACTTACATAAAAGTAACTAAGGGCTGGGCTATATAAAGAAAATCTAATATCGCAATGTATTTTGGCTATATCGCGATACACGATATAGCTTTTAACAAGATACCTGCAACCAAACTTAGAAACACTAAAATACTAAATAAAATGCAAAATAAAAAGGGCTGTTTTGTGCATATTTAAAAAAATACAGAAAGAAAAAAAAAATACCTCAAATTACAATCTTTATGTGCTGGGAATTTTAAAGAAGCACAAAAAGTTGTGAAATTGAGAACATTGCCGAGTTTAGAGAGTGCCTGCAAAATCCCTGAACAAGACCATCACAACACAGGTATTAGAGCATCCAAAAATATTTAAATATTGTAATAAATAACGTCTGTGATTTCCCTCCACCATCTCTTAGTTTTTGTCTCATATGGGATCGCTTTTTCAAACGACGACGCAAACATCATCTGCTTCACAGCTGATTTATATAACATTGTATTTGGTTTGCAGAGTTTACCACATTCTTCATTTTGCAGTGGATGACTTTTTAGCTGGTGGAATAAATATAAACCTTTTGCAGCAATGGTTTTGTGGCACGTCTTACAAATTACCGCCTTTTGTTCGACGTCCTCGAGCGTGAAATCCAAACCACTGCCATATATTGCTCAGCATAAACACCTACTGTCGCCATATTTCGTTCGCAGTGTGCGTGCCGCACAGAAAACAATCCTGTTTGGTGGAGGAGTTTATGATGCATTCAGAGTGTGTGGGAAAAATAAAGCTCTCAGTGAAATATGTGGTGACAGCTTAATGTCGTGATGCAAATTTGTACTCGATGGTGGCGATAGTCATTTTAACTATCGTGCATGGCAAAACTGGAGATACATCGAGCATATTCAATATATCGCCAACTCCATAAGTAACTCAAAGTTACATTTACATTTTGCTTGGGTATTTGTCCCGTGACATTTGAAACATCAGGATTAGTTTTTGTTGTTTTTATTAAGTTGAACAAATTCTAGAGATCCGTCTAAGTTACACAAATTATATGCATGATTTTTTTTATATTTTCGTGAACATTTTAATTTAGCTAATAACATGTGTGGTGAAAACTTGAAGTGCAATGCTCTATTTTCTCTAATGTAGTCTCAGGTACAGCAACTGATTATCGATTGTAGGGCAGTAAAGACATGTGTATAATTGTACAAATAAAGCAATATGAACGAATAGAGCACATGCACACAGTTCAAGATAAAGGTGACCCAAATAGTGGCAATGATATTTTAAGAGAGTGTGAGTCATATAATCAGAAAACCAAGCGTGAGAGTAAGACTGTGAAACAACTTCTTTGGCACTCAGTGGGCAGTGCACAACTATGGATGGCTGTGGGAGGAATGTGTAGAAGGAGCATACTAGGCTGTGTGTGGAAATCTGCTATTCTGGCTCTTGGAGAAAGCCTGTCAATGTTTACAGCAACAGACTGAAAGGTTAATGTAAAGAAAATGATCTGACTAATTGTAGCTGCTGCTTAGACTTTGGTTTTGTTCCAAAAATGTTGGAAGATTTTCTTTGCTTTTTTATAACTTCAAGTCATAATAGAAAAGAAAAACAACAAAATTATTACTACTTGTTATAAGTTTGTATGTCCTTAATGAAGCATTTACAATGGCTGAGGATACTTTTATTGATTTACTTTTATTGTTTACCCTTTAATTTCTACTAGTTCTGTCTTTGGTGTTTTTGCTTATCCTTTGGTTATGTACACTTCCAACTGATATACACAATTGCCATACTAGCAACAATAAATGCATTCTGGCATATAAATTGAACTTTACTGATCTCACATTGGAGAAATTTACCTCTGCATTTAACCCATCCCCTTGGGGAGCCGTGGGCTGCCATCATGGGGTGCCTGGGGAACAGTGTGGGGTTAAGGGTTTTGCTCAGGGACCCAGAGTGGCGGTCTGTGGTAGTGGGGCTTGAACTCAGAACCTCTGGATTTCAAGCTGTATCCCCTAACCACTAGGCCGCCACTACCCCCTTTATACACTCCTATTTTGGTTTTACACAAAGATGACAGGAGCATGTACAGCTTAAAAGCTATAGAACACTCTGCTCCACATTCTGAACCTTTGCATTAAATCCTGTAATAATCACCTTGTTTTTAACTTATTAGGGTGGGCACCAGTATATGATATTTCCAAACGTACTCAGCCACAGCTCAAAATGTGTAACAAAACCCCAGGGTTTAAAGGTTCACAGCTTATGACATGTATTCTTCAACCCCTTAGAGACATAGCACTGGTTGGACTTATTTATCCAGAAGCAGAGTAAGAGAAGGAGAAGAAATCCCATGTTTGCATATCTGCAATATGCAAGGTTGAGGTCAATTGATTCATAACTCTGCTTCACCTCAAACTGAGATGGCCAACTGAATTTTAAATTGTTTAATTTTCATCAGACCATATGATTCCAAATCGGTAGGAGGGTTTGAGAGGCTAACCCCTTGGTCATAGGATAAAACACAGATGCATGATAAAACTGAAACTCAGCCCTACCCAAAAAGGGCCAAAAAAATCATACAGTGTATACCCGCACTTATTACATCATTTTATACCAATTCAAGTGCCCTTAAACACAGAAGAATGACTGATATTAATCTGTTTCTTCTCTTCTGCTTCTCTTTTAGTTTATTGCCTTTGCATCTTTGTTCTTCATCCTGGTCTCCATCACCACATTCTGCTTGGAGACCCATGAGGCTTTCAACAAAATCATCAACAAGACTGACGTATGGAACGGCAGCGAGCCCGACCCAATTCCACAATACGAGATTGAAACTGATCCTGCGCTCACGTATGTGGAGGGCGTTTGTGTGTTCTGGTTCACCATCGAGTTTCTCGTTCGTGTGACCTTCTGCCCTGTAAAGTTGGAGTTTGTCAAGAGTGTTCTCAACATCATTGACTTTGTGGCTATTCTGCCCTTTTACCTGGAGGTAGGGCTGAGTGGCCTTTCTTCAAAGGCCGCCAAAGATGTGTTGGGTTTTCTCAGGGTCGTGCGCTTTGTTCGTATTCTGCGCATCTTCAAGCTAACACGCCATTTTGTAGGGCTAAGGGTGCTGGGCCATACATTGCGAGCCAGCACTAATGAATTCCTGCTGCTAATCATCTTCCTGGCCTTGGGAGTGTTGATTTTTGCCACCATGATATATTATGCTGAAAGAATTGGTGCCAAGCCCAATGACCCCACGGCCACCAACCACACCAAGTTCAAGAACATCCCCATTGGCTTCTGGTGGGCAGTGGTGACCATGACTACTTTAGGCTATGGAGATATGTATCCAGAGACCTGGTCAGGCATGGTGGTGGGAGCGTTGTGTGCTTTAGCTGGTGTACTGACGATAGCCATGCCTGTGCCGGTTATCGTCAATAATTTTGGGATGTACTACTCTTTGGCCATGGCAAAGCAGAAGCTGCCCAAGAAAAGGAAGAAACACATCCCTCAGGCAGTACAAGGAAGTTCTCCAACATACTGTAAAGGTGACCTCAACACGACTTGCAACACCACTCAAGGTGACATGTGCCATGTCAAAGGGGGTAGATTACTAGAATGCAATCGTTCAGGTAAGACAGCAACGGAAGGCCAAATAATCAAAATATGTATTTACATCATCATTCTGCTTTTATTATCCACTCAAAATGGTTTAGTTTTCTACAAAGCACAAAAACCTCTACAAACATAATCCTGCAAATCTGAGGCACTGCACTCTTTTATGTTTTCCCTTTTTGAAAAAAATAGGTTTATAATGAATTGATCAAAGTTGGGTAGTGGAGATTGGTTGTGGTTGTCACATATCTAATCATATCTAAACCAGCAAAGGGCACTGCAATTTTTGGATAGAAATTTTTAAAAAGCTAGATCAAAGGTCACTGGTTTTAAATGTTTCAGTCCAACATTTCTTTAACAGTTCTGTGGGCTGGCTCAGAATCTGACAACCAACAACAATCTCGCCTGCCAAATCAGTGTCTTAATAAGCCAAAGTTATGCCCGTGTCTATCTCAGTTAAGAAAATGTAACTCTTTGGTGTATTCTTCCATCCCTTTCTAAACATTTCCATGTCTTATCTCAATTCAATCAAAAGGTTCTATATATTTCATTGGGATTATACATGCAACTGATTCCAATACACACCAAGTCCACTTGGCTAGAACTTGTAAAATAAAGCTTAAATAAATGAAAAAAAACGAATGATAAAATCGGGAACCTGAGAAAAATAATGCTATTTAGTTTTGTTTAAAACCCAAAAAAATTGGAAAGTATGATTTGCATCTGTACTTAGGCTTCCTGGGTTGCGATTACAGATTTAAGTCTTTTGGGCTAATACATCACCACCTTTGCAGATCTAGAGACTGATTTATTGCTCACTATTCTTTGCATATTCAATCAAGCTCAGTCAGACAGTATAGAGAGCAAATGGGAGCAGCACATTTCACATCCTGCCACAGATTCTAAAATAGATTTTAATTGATCTGGGCTCTTTTAATGCATCAATATACCTAATCTTTGTAATTCTATTGCAGCTGTTACTGTATGTTTAAGAACTTTTGCCTGCTGTAAGATGAGCCTCCACACAAGTCTGATGTTTTTTGCAGGGTCTAACAGCTTTTCTATCCAGCTTTCCCACAGCATAAGCCTGCCATCATGAACTTGCTGTTAGGGTTTGTAAAGTGAAATGCTTTGCTTAAATATCGGATGCTAAATTGTTAAGACTCTTGGCTGCTTTACTTACTCTCTTTTCATTATTGGATGATGAACTAAGCAGAATTTTTCATAACCTGACTGCTATATAATGTAATCAAAAACTTGTAAATTTTTGTTTTGTTCCTCTGTCTTTATGCTGTGGTTCTCCAAAGCATAGTCATACTGAAAACAACAATTTATGTTTTCTTGTTGTTTCATGAATGCAACTGGACAGACTGGATTTCATTTTGGAATATGAGAGTAAAATAGGCTAATTTCAAACCCACAACACACTCTTTTTGTATTTTTATTCATAAACCATTTTAAAACATCTTACACTTATTATTCTACCTCTTTGTATGGGACAATCAAATTAAATCCATACAAAATACATACAGTTCTGCGACTTTAAAGGGAGAAAATGTGGAAGTGAATGGAGTTTTAGAGCTAACTGTATAAAGTCCTTATGACCCAAACAAGCAATGATATTATCTTCACAGCGTTTATTTCCCCCCATCCAGCCTCCAGCAGTGTTGCCACAGTGACAAAGGAGGCAATGAGAAGGATGATGAAAAAAGTGTGAACCAGCTCAAGCTCATCAGAATTCAGGAAAATCACTTTCAAGTCTTTCACCCAGTAGGGTTTGTTCAATTGTTGTTTAGACTGTAGATTGCTGTTTTTTCCCTCCAGGTCCATGTTGGTAATAGACTCTGACACATTTGATATTGATGGAAATTAGCCCTGACCTTTCTGTACTTAGTTGATTTAAATTCCTGGAAGGAGATCCCTAAGGGGAAGCATGCACTCTGGACTTTTTACAGTCTGTTTATAAGATTTCACAACCTGGTGTTTGATAAGAAAAGTTTAATTTATGCTTAGACTGAATGCACAAGTAGACTCAGTGGGCCTCAGCTGTTAATCGTTTGCTTGGAGGACATTTAGGGTACAAAAATTCTACTAGTTATTTTCTAAATTTCTGTTTTCATCAAAAGCTTTTTAACTGGATTCAAAAGGACAGTTTGGATCAATATCATACTGACGTTTTACCCCTAACTATTTTGAATATTCTGTTTACATATCTTTCTTACAAAGAGTTACAACTACATTGAAATCCAGAAGCATTTTTTAGGAGCTGAAGCAGGTAAAAATGTGTGAAACACAACTTCACATGAAGACAAAATAGTTGGTTCCCCGTTTTTAATGATAGAAAACCCCACAATGCTCACATATTAACTTGAATCTGACTAAATTAATAATAACCAAAATTCTGACGTCATACACACTCCACTTTGTTTTAAAAAAAATATAAATGTAAAAAACATAACCGCAGATGTCTGGGGGACAGTGATTCGCCTACATGTTATGAATGCTGGCGTACCATAGATTAAGCAGAATGACCCAAAAAAATAATCTTATTAAAGAGGCCTAAACAAAAATGACTGTAACCTTAAAAAACAATGAAAATAATGTGACCAAAAAGGACATGTTTAATTAAGGTATGCCCACTAATTAGTATAACAGGTGCAATCTTAAAATCAGTCAGTGGGCCTATATATAGGGCTACAGGCAAATGCTGTGCATTTTTTTAATCTAGTACATGAATTTTGGGGAAAGATTAAGTTTTACCCAGATTTCCTTATACTATTTAAATGTTTAATAGCAGTATGTACATAAACCTAAAAATACTACATAAACTTTACTCTAGAAATGTAGTGTTTTGAAATGCACGCACAACGCATGCGCACTCTAGCTCACAGCAGGACTAATTCTGCTCCGAGTCCAGATGTTACAGGATCACACAGAGCAAGAAGTAGTCCCAATGACTGTACTGCAAAAGCCTGCTCACTGCTCATGGGACTGATATATGCCATGAACTTGGCATAATCTCCAATTTTGCAATACTCTTTAGAAGTCTTCCAAAATCTTTTCCTGGAGTTGGATGGATTTAAACTGACCCCAAAAGTAAACACCCTGAAGCTGAAGTTGCTTTCCTAAATGCATTCATGACTTTGTCATCTTAGGGCAGGAAAATGTGGCATAGAATTCCAAGAATTAGCAGTGGGTTCCAGTTAATCTTAGTGGAAGGTTGCCTGTCATTAATGTTTTTATTTTGTGCCAAATAAGGTATATGTTATTTCGTAAAAAGAAGCAGATACCTTAAATCAAATATCTAGTAGAGATTTTATTCTGCATTGGGAATGGTTAGACAGTTTAAGCTTTTAATTTTTAATTGTGTTGATTTTGTTTCACTAATGTTGTAGTTGCATTCTTTAAAAAGTCCACTAGTCTGGACGACTAAATATGGAAATTGCACTGTTTCAGTGTGTAGGTTTGTAAGGTTTTTATCTCATATTTGAGTAGTGACTATATTACCAGATCTGGGTTGGATGTGATGTACTGTATATGAAATACTGTGTATTTGTTGTTTATAAGTTATACTAACCTTTTTTTTTTTTTTTTGGTACAAATTCTAATGCAGTACAACATAATTGACTTTTACTATTGATGCTATATTTGTACATGTTTTTTTCATTTAAATAGAGGCATACATAATCTTTACACCACTGCTTAAAGTTTAAGTGGCTTTTTCTGTTCTGACTCTCACCCAGAAGTTGTTTTGAGCAAGATTGTGTCAGTTAAATATTCTTGATCTTACATGTGAGTATATTTTTGTAACGCCTTTGAATTTCTCAGTTTCAGAGGGTTTTAAATTTTTTATTGCATATTTGAAAAGTATGAGGGCAGTTACAGGGCTGCTCAGTGGAGCAGTACTGTAAGTAGCACTGCCACCTTGCAGCACGAAGGTTCCAAATTCGATTCCCGGCCCGTGGTCTTTTTGCATGAAGTCTGCATGTTCTCCCTGTGCATGCGTGGGTTCTCTCCGGGTACTTCAGCTTCCTCCCACAGTCCAAAAACAGGACTGTTAAGTTAATTGGTTTCTCTAAATTCTCCTTAGGTGTGAGGGTGTGCGTGAATGGTGTTTTTGTCTCTGTGTTGCCTTAAAGTTTTCAGTAGAATGCTGCTTGTGCCTATGAAAAAAAAAATTACACTTTAATTAATTTCTCTGAATAAATCTAACTTACAACTTGGATGTAATTAAGTAAATGTTAAATAATATCTTCACAACTGTTGTCTTATTTGAAAGAAAATGTGCTTGATACTGGCAAGTGTTACTTGATATTGCTGCACTCAATGTTACTTAAATTGAATGCTTATATTTTTTACATAAATATTATGAGTTTTTTCAGTGTAATATGTGTTTGCCCCCTGCCTAATTTCCTTCATTTCTTTGCATGTTTGTCACACTAAAGCATTGAGGATTCGTCAAACAAATGCAGTTTTTGTATGAAGATTTTTATTATTAAGGTAAAGAAAATCCAAACCTGCATGGCCCTGTGTAGAAAAAGGGACTGGCTCCCTTTTAAGCAGAGGTGTCAAAAGTATTAATGTGTATTACTCAAGTAGAAATACATATCCTATTGTTATACTGATGTTCCCCAAGAGTTTGAGAAAAAAATATCTGTTGACAAAAGTTGATCTTATTGGAAGTTGTGTGTCCCATCACATCTGGTGTAAAAGTTCATCATACCAACTGTAAAATATAGAGGTGGTAGTGTGATGGTCTGGGGCTGTTTTTCTGCTTTAGAACAAAAAGACCTGCTTTAATAAATGGAACTATGAGTTCTCTTCTCTGCGATAAAATCATTAAGGGGCAGTTCCTGCTATCTGTTTGTGACCTAAAGTTAAAACCATCCTGGGTTCTCCACAGAGAGACAATGATCAAAAACACACAAACAAGTTATTCCATAGAGCTGTTTTGGAAAAACTTATTGCACCTTTTCAAACAGGACCATGTTGGTTTGGACTCTACCCAAGAATGAAAAGCTTAATTATGAAACTGCATTTTTTTTTTTGCTTACAATTGTTGCCTCTGACTAATAAATTCATTGGATTTTCCAAAAAACTTAAGTGTGATAAAACAAAAATAAGAACCTTTTCTCATCTATGTATATAAGCCAGCTAGTAAGTGGTTCAGAGGTAATGAAGTTAGTTTAGTCAGGTGCCAAGGTTTGTAAAATCATCCTTGCTCCTTAATTTGTCAAGTGCCCTGTGGTAAAATTATATCTCTGATTCCTGAGTAAATGACAAAACGCTCTACCTACAGTTGTGTAAAATGTTGTTTGATCCCCACAGATTTGATCTGTTTTTACTTTTTTTATGTCTTACACCTAAATAGGAAAGATAATTAAACAAATTGGAATTTCAGACAAAATCTACCCTAACCAATATGACTATGTAAAAAACATATCCCCTCCCCCTTGTTGTATCATGAAGGAAGTGTGATTAATCTGAGTTTTTTGGCAGCCCAGTTAGTAGGACAAAGATCCCAGTAATGTGATGTAATAGTGATAATATCTGGCAGACGATATAAAGCAGCTCGAAGATCTGTGAAGCAGCTCAATTTAAACTACATGTATCAAAAAGAGAAACTGTCACTGATATTTATTAGGATAGAAACAGTTATTAGACCTTTTCAAGGCCTTTGGCCTCTAGCAAACCTTACTTAGAGTCAGGGCAGAAAAGACACAAGAACATCTAAAGCCATGCAAGCTGAAGTAAACTTCCATAAGCCAAAAAAAAGAGGAAGACTGGCCAAAACTGCAAATAACTATAGACAGAAAAAAAGAGCAAATTAAGCCGTCTTCACTCTCCTGGAAAAATGAACAACAACAAAAATACATTAATGATCCTTAGACTTTAAATAAATTATTCTGTAGACTGAAGAGAACAAACTAGAACTATTTTTGAAAATGGAGCATCCTAATTCTTTGTGCATAAACCCAATGTAGTTTAGTAAAGAAAGATAACACCAGCAGACAGACACAGTGGTGGCAGTGTGATGATCTGGGATGGCCATACTGCTTCAGGACTGAATGAAAACATGAAAATAAGACTATTCCGAGGAAGAATGTCAAGATATTGGTTCATGACTTTATGATCAGCCACCTACTTTATGTAACAGGGTGATGATCTAATGTGCATTAAAATGTCAACCCCTGAATTATGCATAAAACAAATAGTTAAGGATTTAAATTACTTTAGTTAAAGCTCAGACTTAAATACAACTGAGATGTGGCATAACTTTAACAGACCGGATCAAGCTCCAATTTTGCAAAGAGGAATGGGTCTAAATTTCTCCACAGAGATGTAAAGGACTTATATTGCTGACAAAGGTGGCACAATCAGTTATTCGATTTAGGAGAAAATTTGGATGGCATTTTCCATTCTTCATTCCGAATAATATTTCTTGTATTTTCTCAAGTTATCTTTGCATCATATAGGTTTTTAAATGTCCTGACACAATTAAATGTGATAAAAATGTGGGGAAACATTACAGGTTTTATATTTACTGTGTCTAACAATACAAATGTTGGGAGAAGTGCATACTTTGGTCTGTTCTCCCACAGTTCTGTCAGTGGACTGCAGCGCTGGCAGCGACCTGAGCATGTCTCCGGAGGAGATAGTCCCCATGCGAAGGTCCAGTTCACGGGAACATGACCGCCGGAGTGGGGGGACATGCTTCCTCCTTGCTGCTAGTGACTATACGTGCCCTGCTGATGGAGGGATGAGAAAAGCAGGTAACTGCATGTGTAAGTGCCTTTTTATATAATTCGATAAACTAGAATAAGTGCCTTGACATTAAATTGTTTTTTTAAGTGTGATCTATTTGTTAACCTCTATATTTCTGGATTAAGTATCTTTTTCTTGTATAGTCCTTTTTTTCTTAGATTCAGGCAGTTAAGCACCAAGTTGAGCTTCTATGAACAATTGCCAAATTTGGATCAAAATTTGATAAACACACAAAATAGTGATTTAAGATCTGATAAACCCCCACATATAAAATTCTACATTAGGCTGAATTAGATAGAATTGGTTTCATAAGTGGAACTGTGTTCTTATCAAGTCAGCTGACATGATATAAGATATAATTTTTAGGGGTTGCATTACAACAGAAATATATATCGTAACACTTTTAATTAAAGGCTAATCTTTATCAACATTTCCTCTAATGTTTAAACAAAGCTTTAGATATGTAAAACATTAATGCCAAAGAACAGATTTCTTTACATTTATTTAAGTCCAATTTATAACTTTAAATATGCAATCAAACTTATGAAGTCAGATTCAAGAAGATCAATTCCAATTTTAGTGCAATCTCTTCACAATGCCAATAGGTAAAAAATAATATATCTAAGGAAGACAATTGCATTTAGTAACTGGCTTTACAGCCATCTCTCATAAGAAGGTTTGAAATCCCTTCTAGAAATTAGTTTTGCCTACAGGCTCTGAAGATTGTATGTAGATCCAATCTAAGGTGTTTTTTTGTTTGTTTGTTTTTTATAAAAAAGATACATAAATTCAAAACAATACCAAAATAAGTCCAAATCAGAGCTTTTCTTCTGGCTGCTTGACTTTGATTTCTGATATATTTTGTTTATTTTTGTCTGTAAATTAGCAGCAACGTTAAATATAGATGGGGTAAAGTATAGAGGGGGCCTTAAAATAAAGACCTTAGTAAGTATTCTCATCAGCTGATACATGTCCTTAGTGACAGGTACACCAACATCCCTGGAACGGGGAAGGATCTTTGTTCAGCACTAGTCAGCACAGGTAACGTAACTTCTGTGTCTGCTGGAAGCAGTAGAATACATTACTAAATACTTTTTTGCAATTCTGAGAATCAAATGTTCTCTGCAGCTGACTCAGAACTGTTGCTTGCTGCACATGCACAATTTATTCATGTTTTCTTGTTGCTTGGAAACATTTGAATAAATTTGGACCAATGTTTTTTTTTTGGGCTGTTGCCACATTCATCGCCCATTTACAGCAGGGAGATAAATTGCCAAGTATCATCTGTCTCCTAGGCGATGATACACCCAAAGTCAGTTTGATGATAGGCTTGTTTGTTTTAGTTTCATATATTTGATTGATATATCAACCAATAAAAATTATTAAATTCCAGTAATAGTTCTAAAAGACAAATTTCATCCACAGCCATGATAGACATTTTGAAAGGTGGTTAAATTTGAATAATAGCACCAATAGAAGTAGAAAAAGAAACACTCAAAATATTCAGATTAATGAAACTAAGACCCACATATCACTGCAGATTGTCTTTCTACCTACAGTGAATACAAACAGTCTGTAAACTGAATTACGATAGCAGGTTTTTATTTAAAAAACATTTACTTAATACGTATCTTCTGAATGTCTTGCTACCTTTACTATAATATATATCTACTTTTAAACTAGGATAAAACATTATTTAAAGTGTATACAAAATAAATAAACAAAGCTGCAATTTTGTAATTGCAAAAAGGTTTAATCTGTAAATTGATACTTTGCTAAACCAGTCGATTGTAAGTCATCCAGGATACGAGACTCCTAAGTCCTTGAACAGAAGGCAGCTCTACATATAACTTGAATGTCTTTATGCAAAAGGCTTCCTAATTCCAGAACAGGGTTAAATTGGCATAGTCAGGTTATATAAAAAATTTTTCTTTAATAGACCAGTAGCACATTTCCAAAACATTGCTTGTTTTTTGCTCAGTTTGTTAGTAAATAAAGACCTTTGTCTATATTTAGACTAAACATTGAATGACTTTACGTACCATATTATGCATGTGGCTAATGGGTAAACAAGGAAGTAATGTGGCTAAGGCAGTTCGCTCCTGCCAGTGGAGATGTGAAAATAATGAAGACAAGATGCAGTGTGGAGAAAAAAAAAACAATAGTAAAAGATTCTAAGAGGGATAAGACTCTTCAAGCGGGCGCGGCAGTGGTTCAAAGATTAAGTGTGCGACTCATGGACAGAGGCTTTGGTCCTTAATGCAGCCGTCCCAGGTTTTAGTCCCGGCATTCTGATGTTTGCTGCATGTCTTCGCCCTCTCTCTTATCCCATTTACTGCCTGTTTTCTGTCAGTAATAATAATTAGGCCATTACACTCTAAAAAAAAAAAAAGACTCAACTTTCACCATACCCAGCTGTCGTCTTACCTCAAGGCTTTGCAGGATGGTCGAGATTTATTAAATAGCTGCGTCATTTGCCTTTCTGATAGTCTACTGTCAGCAGATAGTGAACATGACTTTTTTTGCACATCGTGCCTGGTGCATATATTCTATTTAGGGTTAAAAAGAAATATCAAAACACCATCAGGACAGACGCTTGTTGTATATAACCCTATTTTATCAGCACCAAATAATTTCTGGTCCTTCTTGAACTGGCATAAAACATGATTATGCACCTTTAAACGTGTAAGGCTTATTAACTGGAGTTAAGGTCCCTAATCGGGCTGTTAAAGCTTTTTTTTTTTTATAATGTGGGAAAGATAGTAAGATTTGAAAGTGGCCCTCACCCTCCTGCCTCCATTGAAAGCCGTGTCCTCCCACACAAACTGTTTTTAAACCTTACTTGGTGTTCTCTTGTCCTGGATGACTGACTCTTCAAAGGTTCAAATCAAACAAAGAGCTGATTGCAAAGTGAAGCAATTCACAGTCAGCTAATGCTGGTTGAGTAAACAGGCTTTATAAGAATAAAAATTTACCTTCAATCAAATGTTTCACTGCTTCGGGTAAACCACAAATATTGCAGAATATCACAAATGAACACTTTGCTTTAAAAGCAACAGTTTTTTTCTTCACTGTCTGCCTTTATTTCTGAACAAACATTTCCTGTTTTATGTCACTTTGGCTTATAAAAATTCTTGCTAACTGCTTAAAGGAATAGTACACCCAAAACATGATTAGCCTTCATTTTCTACTCACCCCCATGCTGAACAACACCCTGGAGTACTTTTTTGATATCTCAAATGCATCTGGAGATCTGGGAGGCTTCTTGCTGTCTGCTGACATTCAAATAATGGAGGTCTATTGTGCACAAAACGTTTCAATATTCCTCCATATTGCTCGTCCAATGTATTCCAAGTGTCCTGAGTGGGTAGCATCCAGAAGTTACTCGAAACGAAGTCATTTAGAATGTTTTTAGAGCATAAACAGTAGCATATAGGATTTCCTGAAAGCGCGCACATGCGCGATCACGACGCTACGAAAGCCGGCAGACCAAACCAGATGAAAGTGCGCATTCAGCGACTGCTCTGCCAATAATGCAAGCGTAGAAGAAGAAAAGTGCTGTTTACCTGTGCAAAGAAAGAAACAACGAAAGAAAAATGTCTGAGGACTTCAGTGTTGAGGAAGAGCATGAGTTCTTTGCCGAGCTGAATGCGCTGGTTTGGTCTGCCGGCTTCCGTAGCGTCGTGATCGCGCACGTGCGCGCTTTCAGGAAATCCTATACACTACTGTTTATGCTCTAAAAACATTCTAAATGACTTCGTTTCGAGTAAATTCTGGATGCTACCCACTCAGGACACTTGGAATACATTGGACGAGTAGTATGGAGGAATATTGACACGTTTTTTGTGGACTTTTATGGACCTTTCTGTCTCGGGCACAATAGACCTCCATTATTTGAATGTCAGCAGACAGCAAGAAGCCTCCCAGATCTCCAGATGCATTTGAGATATCAAAAAAGTACTCCAGAGTGTTGTTCAGCATGGGGGTGAGTAGAAAATGAAGGCTAATCATGTTTTGGGTGTACTATTCCTTTAACCTTAAAGAGAATTTTAGGGTAACATTTTGATGATTTTTTGAGCTTTATAAATTACTCTAACTCATACCAATATGCCTTTCAACAATTTGGTGTAAACGGAGCGGATTATCTCATAGATTCAAAACATTGGAGGAGGCGGTGACAGAGGATTTTCGCTCAGGACATGACAGGCTAATCAAAGAGGAGATATACTTTAAACCTAAAACAGCAGCAAAGAGGCAAACGCTTCAGATTTTTGGAAACAGGTCGCATAGCCTCCTGAATCAGAAGTTAAAGGTTTTGACCATAATGGCCATCATTGAATTTGCAAACCTAGGATACCATCCTTGCTTTGTAGTACAAGGGTTTCAACATCATCTTCTGGGATTTATCTTTTGTAGATGAATGGTTCACAGGAAACACACCATGACCCCAATCTTTCTGATTAAATAGTTACAAAGTAGCTTTAGGACAAGAAAATACTCAGATTAATTTCCAACTGTTATGCCTTTATAAAGAAATTAATCAAAATTCCTGCAAAGTATTGTCAGAAGATTGAGGAAGGATGCACAAACTACATGACCCAAGCCATGCCGTGCTGTGTTTAAGGACAATGCCACTAAATATCAATAAAGTCTAAGAAAAATTCTAAATGTAATGAAATCAAACCAAATCTCACTCTGATTATTTCAGATTTCAAGATCATATTAATTTAAACTGAACTCAAATAGGAAAAGAGAGTGAGGGGGAAAAAAAGCTTTATGGTATTTTTTCTGTTTATACTGATAAAATTAAGATTTCATCACCTTGGCAACAGGTTGTTCTCCCTCTTGCCACCACACCGACACTCATACATTAAATATCCGCCCCAATCGGTGCTGCTTGGTGCTCCATGTTGTCCTTTATTCCACTCACTCAGCTGTTTTTAAATGGCTGCGCTTTAGTTTAAAGCCTTCTCATGCGTGAAAACCAATCTAAGTGTTTGCACTATGA